GGGGGGGGGGGGTGAATAGGGTATATGCTAATTTAATCTGATATTAATGTCAATTTAAAACTTATTTACATATATCCTAGCAAATATAAAATACGACAGTTTGTATGAGCTATGATATGCAATATAGACAAATGGCGATATAAACAAGAACAAGTATGCAAATAAGATAGTGCGCAAAGACAATATAAACACACGATGTGATCACGGAGAACAAGTATGCAAATAAGTGCGCAAAGACAATATAAATACACAATGTGATCACGAAGTTCGGTCACTCTCGACCTACGTCTCCACTCCACACTCACGAGGAGAACTCTACTATCTCAAAAGATACTACACAATCGGTTTTCAACGCTCACCGACAAACGTTTACAACAATCACAATGCAATCACACAACACACCCTCTAAGTGTTGGCCTAGCCCGTGTCGCCTTCCTCAAGTGCTCGGATTTACAATCTCTCTCTAGGCTTTACTATTGACGTCACTCCTATTGGAATCGACCATGTCTCTTATCACATACTTTCTCTCGGTGTACTTGTGTATTATATAGTGAACTCTCAACAATTAAGTAAAAATAAAATGATTTGTTCTCCAATACAATTTGAGAACAAAATTTACCTCACTCAATCACACTCACAACCCAAATGAATTATATGTGAAAATACTCAAGCTCAAATATGAGTATGTGTGAAAACAATATGAACAATAATGAAAACTAAACTTAATATACAATTTAGCTTAAATAAAATTGATAATCAACAAATAAATATGTAAAACTAGAATTGAGTTTAGAGAAAACTCCTCTGAAATAAAGAGAGAGAGAGAGAGAGAGAGAGAGAGATGGAATTGAAGCTCAAACACGAAAGAATCAATCTTCTTTTCTCTTGTGAAAGTTTCTTCACAAAACCAAACTTGAAACATCTTAAAAACTCTTAAACAAACTTAAACCCCTTTGTAAACTTGTATTAAAATTTTCTTCATTAGTACAAAAGTTAAAGGGTATGAGGTATATATAGGATCAAGAAACAAAAGCTCAAAAACCAAGAAAATATCACAAAACAACAAAATCTAGAAAACTAGCCGTTATGCCAACGATCATCAGTTCGGTCGACCGGATGACACTGGTCGATCAACCGAAACAAAATTGTCGGTCGACTGAGGAACCCTGAGGAAAACAGCTGAAAAAATATGTTCTGGTCGGTCGACCGAAAGGTCATGTTCGGTTGACCGAAATACCCTGAAAAGCAAAACTGAAAAATCTCGTTCTGGTCGGACGACTGGCAATGCCTTGTGCGGTCCACCGAAAACTGACATATGAGAAAAACTATTGAAAGACTGAATTTGAATCGTCTTTAAAAAATATCAAATAAATTACAAAAATTATAAACCTTGGGGAAATGTTTATAACCATGAAAATGAACATGTTACAAAAGAAAATTTTCAAATTGCACTTTCCATTTGTGAAAACTCGTCGTTTTGCGAAAGCTTAAAAATAAATGTTCCTATGAACACTTGATTTTTGCATATGACTTAAACTAAGTTATAGAAATATTTGAAACTGATTTATGGACTATACATAAGATGTTTACAAAGATTATTTTGTCCATAAGTCAATAATACAAAGATTACTTCAAAATACCCAAATTGTGATGAAAGTGAGAAATGTGTATGTGTATATAATTGAGCTTAAAAGTATTGATACACAAAATACACATCCTACACTAATATACCATATAGATTGCATATGAAGCTCGATCGTGGATCTTGACTTGACTTGAATTTGCTTCATTTACAATAAAGCTCTTGAATCATTCAACCTGGTTTAATCAATCAAAACCAAACACTAGAAAACACGTTATAAATTGCTTGTTAAATCATCAAAAAAATATTAGAGAATTAAGCTCACCACATGAGTCCTAACAAATTATACTTAAAATAAGTTGAATTAGACATAACATGATTTAAATTAGACTTAAAAGGAATTAAATTAGACTTAATATGAATTAAATTGGACTTAACATGAAATTAGACTTAAAACAAATTGAATTAGACTTAACATGAATTAAATTAGACTTGAAACAAGTTAAATTAGACATAACATGATTTAAATTAGACTTAAAATAAATTAAATTAGATTTAACGTGAACCGAATTAGACTTAACATGAAATAGACTTTCATGTTAAGTCTAATTCAACTTGCTTTTAGACTTAACATGAAATGATAGAGGAGATAATGGTATTTTGGTGTTTTTACTTTTTATTCTCTGTTTATGCTTAGTTGGCATGTAATAATTGCTAAAAGAGGGGTGCAGAACATAGATCTCTAATTTAATGGCTGAACTACATAGAAAAAAAAATAAAAGAACTGCAGCACATGAAGATTTTATTTTTGGGGCATTGACACAATTTTTACTAAAACTTTTATTGGAGTCCTTAATCTAGATTTTAGATCTTTGACGATCTGTTTTCTTAGATCTTTGACGATCTGTTTTCTATTGTCAAGTTGATGTGGGACCCGGCAAATCTTCCGCCAATCGCTCCGTTTTAGCGATTTGTTTTCTATTTTTAATTTGCGGTGGGACCCACGTTGCACAAATATTCCACAAGTCGCTCCGTTTTGTGAAAATGTTTGGCTACAAGTTTCGGGTAATTAGATAAATTATTAACAGAATATTAAGTCCGCATGTTGCTTTAGGTATTATTTATCTGAGTTATGTCCATC